GGGCTGCTCCGACGCCCAATACAGCACTCAGGAGACCCCTCCAGGACGCTCACATCATAACATTAATGTTTCCTGCAATGCATTGGAATTGGTCCCCGTTTCGCTTCCTGCGGACTTGTGGGGCCTCAAAATGGCTTTGAGATCGCCAACGGTGGTTCCAAGTGGGTAGCAGAAGAAGTGACAGAGAAAGCCGATGACGATGACCCCAAGAGCGCTCAGCAGAGCTCCGAGAGCGCACCAAACAAGACACACGCACGCTTGACATCAAACAAGACTGCGCATCAGAGCACAAGTAAGCCCCAACACGGCAAGCGTGGTCCCAGACTGCGAACCAGCCATCGGTCGGAAAGGGCAGATGCGGGCAGAAGCATGGAGCAGGGATACGTTCTTGAATATATTGGATCTGCGCCCGCCCCTTGAAAAAAGTGAAGGAACGAGGGCAATCGTTCGGCACTTGAAGGAGGAGTGCGCCTGTAGAAGATTGAAATCTGGGGGTCCCAGAAGAATCAGTCCTTTCCACGACTAGCGTCAGGTCGGGCATGTCCTCCTACAGGCGGACTTTCGGAGGAAAAAAACGCTCAACAGCTTGCAAACAACAATCAAACAATCGTCCTCAGACTATTTTTGCTATTTTTCAGCTTTCCTCCTGTAGAGTGGCGTGCCCGACTTAAGACTAGCGGGTACTAGCTTGACAGCCCGCGGGCCCACAAAAGCATCAGAGAAGCCACCACTGATCCCCATAAGTTGGAACCAGAGTCATCCAGAGACGGTCAGGCCTCACCCAGAACATGCACATGCCTATGCATCCCATGCCATCATACAAGTACATGCGTTTCGGCGCGTGCACTTGTATTGCCCATGCTGGCCTCACCCTCCCACCAACGGCACTTACCAACATGAACACATGCCATCAATGAAGCAGAATGAGCCAGTGGGATGCGCGACACAAATTGACAATCACGTACTTTCCAATGAACGGGCTGTGTCCAAAACGCTACATCGAAACGCTTCCAATGCCGTGGCAGAAGCAGGCGTAAGCTGCGAAAGCAGCATGGCAGATAAGAGAAATCTACATCAAAACCCATACCAACCGCCCAAAGGGGCAGGGGCGCCAGAAACAAACGGACCTGCACGCGCAATCTGATCCGTCCAACCCTGGCAACCTCGCATCGTGAACAACAAGCACGGCGGAAGGATGTTGGCGATCTTCGGCATCTGGGCACCCTTGCCGTGCTGGGCCCAAGAACACAAAGACAACAACTGGGGATGATCAGCTGGGCCTCAGGAAACCGATCTCTTGAGAGACACGCTGCGACAAACAAAAAACGACGCCGGATATCCGCCATCCGATGCCGTGGTCGTGTCCCGATCCTCTCCCCAGGGCCGGCTTCCCATCCCGAGCCATGATTTGGCGGTCCTGGGGCCTGGCCAGGACACCCAGACGCAGAACACAAAAACAAACCTCCGCCTTGTCCCGTAGCAGCGTTTCGAAAGAGGGTTCTAACAATCAGAATCCGACGCGTCCCACAAATAAAACAGGGCTAGGATCGGGATAAATCGCTCCAGAGCGTTCCAGAGCGCTCTCAGAGCGTTCCGGAACGCTCTGGGGCGGCCGCGGCGCCCAATACATCCTCCAAACCCGCTGATTCTCAGAGATTTCGAGTTATCCCGATCCGATTTTGTCCCGATCTTCGCGTCGATTTAACAAGGGGGATGGGGAGCCCAGGAGCGCGAGCCAGCAGCCGCTTCGACGGAGGCTTCCGCAAGATTGACTCTGGCATCGTGCTGTTTGCTTCGGCCCGCGCGGTCACGATCCCCTTCAACGAATACACTACGGTTGTGGATGCCAAGACAATGGACACTCTAACAATCCTATCCTTGAATCCAACATGTGTTAAACATGTCGGAAAATGTTATAAGCATGCTTGCCACATGCTTCTTTACATGTCTAAACCATGTTTGCTGCATGTCTTAGACATCTGGAAACTGTTCGGCAGCATGCTCCCTCTCCATGGGTCGCCCTCCACAAACATACACTACGGCGCGCGCACGTGGCCGTGCTCCCACCCCTGCCCCGGCCACGATCCCCTCTTGACAGGAGCGAAGGTGCACACGGCCGCGCTCTCGCCTCTGCCTGGCCGCATCTGCTCTGGAAGACCCCTGGAGATGCCTGGGACTGCGTGTGTCCACTGGCCGTTGCTAATTTGACAGGCCCGTGGCCCGGACCTCTCCAGCTCGGCGACTGCGAATCCGCGTCCGCCCGCGACCAACAAAAAAGGTCCACTGGCCGGCCTCCTGCTCCTCGACCCGCCGCTTCACACGTGTGCTGCTGCCCCGCGATCCGGGCTCTCTGCTGAGAAATGTTCAGTACCATCAGGCTCTCAATGGCCGCGATCTGATGTTGGGCGGCGGTGCAGCCTCCCAATGCCCGGGACTCGAAACCTCTAAACTGCTGGTCTTTAGTTTGGCGACGGCGCCGTTGGTAAACAAAAAAGAACCATCAGTGCACTGGTGGGATTTTGGCAAGAGATTGGCGCAGTAACTTCTCGCCAGCGGAAGCCTATCCACCTATTTAGATGGCATGTCTAACCATAGGTGTTAGTATATACGTGTATCTGGAGGTTAGAAGTGCCGTCGTATATCTATACATATATATAGCAGTATTAGAATTAGAGGTGCCGTCGTAAACAACTGCACCACGTAAAGAAACCAACGACACCTGAGAAACTAGGAGTACGTTGGAGGTCTGGGGGTGTGGAATAGCTAGCCTACGAGGCGGCCAGAGGTCTGAACTGGTTGGGTCTCGAGGGTATCTGTCAAACATAGAAGATACAGGCAAGTCCACTGAGAATCGTTCTGGGGACCGCTCCCGGGGTTCACGTGGTGCAGATTCTCTCCCGCAAGATCAGTTTTCGACGGTCCTGGGGCTTGAACTCGGCCTCCAAGGGGACCGAACAAAAGCAGACACCTCATGAAAACCAGCGCCTCGGACCTTGCCTCCTCTCCTGCTGGCCGGAACCAATGCTGAGCCACCTCAGAACCCGAGCCAGCTCCAGGAATTTAGAAGTCGCCCCTGGGTGCGTGTCGTGATCACCTGAGCGGCCGCAGTGGCTTCTCCAGTGGCCACAAGAGCCCTACGGTGGCCCTTCGCGAGCCTCGAACGGCCTGCATCGGCTAATCCAGACGCCCCCCCACGGCCTCCAGTGGCCTCCGATGGCCTCAAGTGGCCCCCAGTGGCCTCCAGCGGCGCCAGCAAACGACTGCGGACCACTGGGGGCGCAGGAGAGGCGGACAAAGTGACAATCGAAGACTCGCAGGACTGATTTCTGAACAAGAACTGGTATCGGGCAGAGGGTGTCCTTCGTAGTGGGGTCGCCAAAAAAAGAGCGCTGCGCTGATATTGCACGACGTGCGTATCCCGCACGGACGATTGCACGAACTATTGAGCATATGTGTGAGACCCCCTTTCCAAAGGGTCCATTCATTACACGGCGAAAGCGATGTCGTGATGAGATTGGCTCGGGATGCGTTCCAGGAGCTCCAGAGCATCTGGCGGCGCAGCCGGCGCGAAGGATTCGGAAATGTGGGGAGCCTTCGAAGTCTTGGCACGCATCGTCAGCATGACCCCCTTGCCCGTCTGACGGGCGAGCTAGAGAAGGCTCGCCCTAGAGCTGCTCTGAGGGGCGGCGGCGCGGCCGCCGTGCTCTCTCGCCTCCCCCCGCCTCTGCTTCCCCCTCCTCGTCGCCCTCGTCGTCGTGTCTCTTCACCTTGCTGCTAGGCTCCGCTGCGATGGTTTAAACAGGCCAGGCCCCCTTTGCAAAAGGACCCATGTGGGTGAAACCAAGAAGGGACCAACACCGATACTCCCCGGACCTCAACCGGGGTGAATTCTGACCAGAACTTCGAGGCGAATCCAGCGGTGGCGACGAGGGCCTCCCAGGAAGGTCAACAAGGGGGAGACGGGCGAAGGGTAGCGGTATGGGTACCTGTTCCTCCTCCGACATTAACCACGATAGGTCTTTAGATCCCCCCTGTAGAAGAAACGAACTATCCTTTAGACGCCCTTATTGACGGACTGGGGTCCCACCAGAAGTGGAAACTACATATTTCTCCGCGGCAACCGCCGCGCAACGACAACGACGACTACGATTAGGACTACGACTACGACAACGATACGACTACAGCTACGGCTACGACTACGAGCAGTCAGCCACCATAATTACGATTCAGTTGACGACTGAAGCTGCGAATACGAGCACGACTATGGCTACGACGACTACTTCGGTTAATTATTACGATGAAGGAGGGCAGGAAGAAAGCGAAGAGGAGGAGGAGGAGGACGAGGAGGGAGATGAGGAGTATGGAGGAAAGAAAGAAGAGAGAGGGGGGAAGGAGACAGAGACGGAGGAGGAGTAGGAGGAGGAGCAGGAGAAGGAAAATGAGGCGCGGAGTTTATTCCTTCGCCGACAGAAACAGGGAGGGGGAAGGAGGAGGAGGAGGTGATGAGGAGGAAGAGGAGGAGGAGGGCGAGGAGGAGGAGAGGAGGAGAAGGAGGAGGAGGCGGAGGAGGAGGAGGACGAAGAGGAGGAGGAGGAGGAGGAGGAGGAGGAGGAGGAGGAGGAGG